ACACATTCAGCCCTATCTACTGTTTTTAGATTTCTCTTATTGGTATAGACTTTTTGCTTCAATCTGACAATCACTTTCTTCTTTACTTTTATTTTTAGTTGTTGAGATTAGGGTATCCTTGTGTAGTCCAGACTGACCAAAAACTTCAATCCTCCTGCCTCAGCATTCTGACTGCTAGAAAACCAGCATGTGCCAGCACATCCAACTGAATATGTCTTCTTTTGCTTGCAGCACAGGAGATTGAAACAGGGCCTTGCATAGGCTAGGCAGGCAAGCACTCCACCAATGAACTACCGCTCTGGGACTCCAAGTCTTAGGCAGGGCCTCACCAATCTGCCCAGGATACCCAACTCTCTCTCCTCCTGTCTCAGTTTCCCATGTAGCTGAGAGTATACGCATAAACTGCCATGCCCAGTACCTCTGGTCTTTCCTCATTTTTATTTTTCCATTTTTAGATAGCTCAACGTTCTCAAGCTTTTCTCTATTATCCATCCATTGCATTGAAAGTGACTATCATTTTTTTCTTTCAGGTTTTTTGAGACACTGTCTCCGTATGTAGGCCATGCTGGCCTTGAACACACTATATAGCCAGGGTACCCTCAAATTCAAGAAATCCTCCTGCTTCAGCCTCCTGTGTTGGGATTACAGACATGCTCCACCACACATAGCTTTGAAAGTGACCACCTTTTCTGTATCAGTGAGATTTTTCTCTTTTGCTTATACCCTGGTTCCATTAGCTGACTTAGTCTTTCCTTTCTGTTGTCTTATCATTATTTCTTTGAACTTTGTTTCATCTTCAACTCCTATTTCAGAAGAGCTGTATCTCACCCCCACCTCCTACAAGGAAGTAGTTGACCACAAGTTTGCCCTGCAGTTTCGTAAAAGAAATTATTAGGAACACTTCTCTTGAGATCTGACTCCATGTTGGACTAGTTTACCTAACCTATGATATCCACACGGCATAGTTTTGGAGAGATAATCATTTAGACTTTATTTCTCCTCAGTTCTCAAAATGAGCTGCTGTAAGGTTCCTTGATGCTAGTCTCTGCCTCCCCTCAGTACTTGTGCAGGTAAAATTCAGCCTTCTCTCCCCTGTGCCCAGGGAGCCCAAGGCATACATCTAGAATTGCCACACCTTGGGAGGGCTGCTAGCTTTGTCCTCAGTTCACCTATTTGGGAGAAAGCTATTCCTCTCACTGCGTTTGGTGTTGACTCTAAAGGAATCTTTCTTGGCACCCTCTCATCTTGGTTCAGATTTTTTGTTGTTTTAATGGGGATGGTATTTGAGACCATGTTTTGTTATGTAGTTCAAGCTGGCCTTGAACTATGTAACCCAGGATGGCATGGAACTCACAAGGATGCTCCTGCCTCAGCCTCCCAGGTACTGGAATTACAGGTGAGCTCCAATATGCCTACCTTACACAAGTATTTTTAATACAGTCATATACCACGAGAAAGTATAATGTAGAAGCTTTAGAATATGTTTTGGGTATTCCGGAACATCTGAAGCAAGTAACCAGTAAATGTTAATGTTTTTCAGACAAACATTATAAGCCAGATGTGGTGGCACACAGCTATCATCCGAGCACTTGGGAGGCTGAGGCAAAGGACCATTGAGAGTTTGAGACCAGCCTGGGCTACAAAGTGAGCTCAAGTCCAACCTGAAGTGCATAGCAAGACTCTGTCTCAAAAAGACAAGAAAGGACTGGTGAGATGGCTCAGTGGTCTAAAGCACCTACTTAGAACAAGCTAAGCTAAAGCAAAGCACAGGGACCGCGGTTCAACCCCCCAGCACCACATGCCAGCCAGCCCCGCCCCCTGGTGGGCTGAACTGGCCACATACACACACACAAAATAAATAAATA